ATACTTTTCTTAAGAGTCATAGATCAGCACAAAAACAGTATGTAACTTAATTTGCAGCCCATTCAATAGACAATCTTAGCTGTAAAACCTGACTAGACCAAACATAATCAAACCAGGAAACAGTAAAACAGTAATATAGAACACTATGTAAATACAATAAAATAAAAGAAATCTAAAAAGCTACAATAACTAATGTGATAAAGAAGCACATAGTACAAAAAGATAACTGGGCTAGCTTAAACAAATTCAGCAAACCACAGAATTAAAGTAGAAAATACCAAAAAAAAAACCCAGTTACATCAATTAGCAGAATTAACATTAATCATCACTGGTCCATTCTGTTTGGGTTCTGCAGCAGGCATTTAAACCAACTAAGCCACTTATCAGCCAGCAGGTACTGAAAATAAAACTAAGGGGGTTTATACATTTCATGGTATCAACAGCTAGAAATGCTGACGGAAGCCAAGCATCATATAATTTCAATGATTAATGAGAAAAAAGAGACTGGCAGCCTGATTTCTTAGTACAGCAAGACGTTGACTTGCTGTCTGATGAATAGTAGCATAGAATATTTTTAATATACGGTAGAGTTACAGCAATTTCTTGTTTTGACAATAATCTAAGCTGGATGCCTACAGAGCACACCAAAACTTAACTCACTGCAATACAAAAAGCCAATCAATAGTACTATTTTAAGTGGGATTCTGGAACAGAAATTCCTGTTATTATTATTATTTCTGCAATGATCAGAAATAATCTTGTGTTTTTCTCTTTTTTTTTCTTTTTTTTTCTCATTATTTTAAAAGCGATTTTGGAAAGGTGAGCCAAGGCAGGCAGGCAGCCATTCCCAGAGGCGACTTAAATTCCCTTCCATTCTGCAATTCTTGCAGTTGGGACCCTGTTATTTGGCACACTTAACAAATTGGTTAATCCCCCAGTGATGGATTCCACCACTTACTCTTTCTGGAAAGGCAAATAGATCTTGGAAGCTGGAATCCAAAGACCAAAGAGACTTAAAGCAAGAATGGCTAACGGAGGAAAGTACATTATCTTGTCTCTTGGCCTCTGAACACTGACTCCGCTAAGGTAAATCTTATCTGGAATCTTATCTGGAAAGAGAGCCAGGTAAAAACTGACTCGTCATTGTCCCTCTCTTCTCCAAGGACTGAGTCTAGACTCTGCACACCCAAAGAGCATTGCTCCTTTTCTCATAAAACAATCATACAGCCATAAACATGATTCATGGCTAAGGAGGAGCGAAAGTCGAGACTCATCTCTATGTGCCATGTTTTTCATCCCCAGACAAGATCATCTCCGAAGGCCACTGATGACTGTGATGTCATTCTTCACAAAAAAGGATACAGAGGATGTTGCGTGCTGCCTTGGCAAAGCCAGGTGAGTTTGGGGTTTAGGGTTTGAAAGATGCAGGCAACCAGAGCCTCTTGTGAATAGCAAAAGTCAGTAACTTTATTGCCCAACACCTATGTTTCAAGAACATCCCCAGACTGCTTGCCTTCCCCTAGGAATGCTGAGACAAGGCTTAGTGGATATTGAGGGAGGTCAAGCTTATGCTGCTTGCAGCTGTGCAAGGACTCCAAGCTAGGCCCTCGCTTGACCCCCTCCTTCCAGTTTCCCAACAAGGCCCCAGGCACTGGCTTGTAAAGATTAGGCCTTAGTGCAAAGGTTGAGAGCCTTCTCAAATGTAGTTTATTCAAAAGGGATCGTCAAAGGCAAATCACACACAAAGCAGGCCAGGAGAGCAAAGACAACTAGCTGAGGCAGGCAAGGAAAACATGGGAGGAAAGGAGAGACCAGGAGCATCTGGAGACCTCCAAAAAAGGACCTTCCTTTCAAGAAGGCAAAAGGGACCAGGGAGTAAGCCAGAATATAAAGCAGGCAGCGGGAAAGCAAAAGGATCTAGTCATTCTTCACTCTCCCCCAACCTCTCTGTGATGCGGGCGGGCAATGTTCCCGCCAGGCTGATCAAGCTTTAATGAGGCAGCTTTCCTGACCAGCTGCTCTCTGCCCATCTAAAGAGAACGGGAATTCTTAATTTGTCTTTCCAGTCTCACCTTGAGAAGAAAGGAAAATAACAGGCTGATAAAAGGCGCTTGACTGCAAAGAAACATCACCCCAGTGAGGATACACTGGAGCCCAGAAGGCACCCAGTCCTAAAATTCAATTCAGCAGAAGGAAAAGGAGAGAGGTCAAGTCCTCTCACCCAAGAACCCTTTGGCCAAGTTCTAGAGTTCTGGAGACTAAATCCTAGAGTTCTACATATGCTCAGAGGCACTCCTGCAAAGACAATAGCTTTTGGGGGTTCCTTTTTTTTTTGTTGGATTTCTCTTCTGCCTCTCCTCTGGAACCTCAAGAGAACCATAACTGTACAATCATCTTTGGAATATGGTTGTCTCTAGCCCTGCAACCATCCAGACTTTTTTGAATGCGCTCCAGAGATCCAAATTAATCCTTTTAGCTCCTGACATGTTGCCCTGCCTCGTGAAATGAAATATTGGTACAGCATAGATGTATTCTGAATCACCCAGTATGAAACTCTACCCAGTTTCTGAAGCTCCCGAGTTGAAATGCAAATATCAAATTGTTAGAGTTAAATTATTACATTGATTCAAGGGTTTGTCTTCCTACTAAATATTCAAAAGATCAGCCCGATAGTTTGTAATGATTTCCTCAATCTTATTTTTAAGATTATAATTATCTGAAGACACAAATGTGTGATTTGACACTGAAGTCTTCTTCACAGAACTATGTAAAAAAGATGCTCTGTGGGGCTCAACAAAGCTTATATATTTCATTGTGAAGTTGGTTTGTATCCTAAATGTTAGTAAGCATGGAAAAAGGAACAACTCTTACAGCGTTCTTTGTTAATTGGGTCAAAAAGAGAATTTCAGTATGAGTAATTAAAACTACACAAATGGAATCCAGGCTCCTACACAGCTATTAAAAACAGACAACTTTTCCCTGACATCTGGCTTTCCTATTTATTCCACTCCCTACTCACCAGAAGAATTTTGTATAATATCAAAATTATTTTCCAGTTGATTTTTTTCAGAGTCTCAAACGTTGCACTGATGATGTTACCTAGTCACGTAATCAAATATCTGCAAGCAAACAATCAAGTTCTGAGCAGCAAGGAGTCCACCCACTTTTCCTCTTCTCCACCTGATTTAGAGGCAGTCACTTAAAATCCAGGTGGTTTCAGATGGTTCCAGGTATATAAGGTAAGTAGTCAGATAAGAGGCAGTAGATCAGAGAGGGAGAAAGAGAAAAGGAGAGAGGGAAGAAAGGAACAAGAAATGGAGGAGGACAGAAGGGAGGAGGGAGAGGGACAGGAATGGAGGTTAGGATGACAATAGAAGCTATGGACCTTAATAGCAAAGAAGCTTAAGGTGCCCCATAGCAGATGGTCCTTCCAGAAGTTTTCCATTCAACCCCAAAGAGAGGGTAATTTTTAAAAAGACAGGAGATTCATAGATAGCCTTCAACCACTTTCTCACATGGAAGAACACCATGCCACCCCAGAGAATGTCTCCAAAATGTTCATCTCCTTTGAAAGACATGTAAAAAGGACAACCTCTTTCATCCATCCTCATGAGACCAGGTCAACATAAAAATGCAAGGGGTGGGGATTCCCTCTAATGCTATCTGAAATACTTCCATGAGACGTTCTTTCTCCAGCGTGCATATTGTATCTTCCATTCATTTGAGAGGCCCCACCAGAAAAAAAAAATGCGCCTGTAAATAGAGATTCTAACTATAGTTTTGAATTAATAATTCAAATAATCCATACATGCTTACTGATGGCTTTTCTATAGAAGCAGGAGAGGAGAGGAACAGTGAACTTGGTTTAAGATGATCATGGGATCCAGTTCCTTTCTGGCTATTTTTTCCTTTGTAGCTTCTCCATAACAGAATTTTAAAAGCTGGCCCTCTATCAACCCCCCTCCTCAAATAAAAAATGGGTTCTTGAGTCAGTACACAACTTGCCTTCATTAGATCAGGCCTAGAACAAAAGTCATTCTGGAAGGATTGTCTCAGTCTTACAGTGATCTACTATCTGCCAACTGTGGTTTCTAGAGTCAGAATGAGGGATTACAGCTTCTTTATTGAGTTTAAGTCTGTTCTGCCTTCACCCAGGCAGATCTTTGCCATCTCAAGACAGATTTAACATTCACTTTCATGTCATTTCTGCTTTTAAAATCACACCTATCAAATTCACGCATAGTGCAATTTTTAAAACATTCATTTTACATTTCTGGATATGGTATTTTCCTACCACCGCCCACCCCCAAAATAAATCTTCTCATTTGAACATTCATAGCAAATTTAATCTAAAGCCTAACGGCATTCAGTTTGTTAGAAGTTACCTTAAATGGATGGCCATTGTTGACTTCCTGCTTCCCTACGGCTTTTGTTTTCCATATAACCTTTACCAAACACGAATGAAGCTGCTGCAGCCAAAAGTTTATTTTTCTTTAAAAGAAAAAGATGTTGTGGCATTTGTCGCCGAGATTAACAGGTGACCTTTCTCCAAGGCACTGTGGCCCTCTCACTAAACTCCACCACTGAGCTGCTGGGAAAATGCACCAAATTGCAGCATCGTAGTTTAAGAGCCTGGCGCTGGCATCTCAACGCATTGTGCAGTAGAGCTTAGCAAGTAGCAGAGAAGCAGCCAATAACACACCCATCATCTTCTTTCTAAAAATCCAGATACACTTCTGTCCTTTTTTAAAACTGTGCTCCAACCTGCCTGCTTAAAGCCCAGCCCCCCGGTGTATCTTTGCTCTCCAGACCGTTATCCTGGATGAGCTTTAGGGACTTGGCGATCTTTCCCTTCCTTTCTGTAGCCACTCCACCCTGCTGCCTCAGCAATTTTTCTCCAGTCCCCGCCACCCCTGATGCGCTCCTGTCCATCCAGAAAGAGAATAATAATAATTTTTTTTTTAAAAAATACAGCTGACAAAAGAAGAAATATTTCTCACCCAACAGTAGCCAACGTCTCCTACCCAACAGCCAACTGTCCGTTCAGTTGTTCCTCGGTTGTTTCTCCTCCTGTTTTTCAGCCGTCGGCTGTTCCGATGGAGCAACCAGGGGGAAGAGATTAGGAGGGGCAAATCTCCCGGAGAGGATCAACCCACTGAGGATGCGCGACCAGGTAAGGCGAGATGGAAGAGCGAGGAGGAAGTCCATCCACTCGCTGGAGAGCAAAAGGGAGATTCCCCCCTTGTCAGATCCACTCCCACGCCACCCACTCAGCTGATTGGGGAGAGGGGGGGACAAAGAGGCTGCTGGCGGATCAGAGGAGAGGGAACGAGAACAGACGGGCAGCCTTGAATTTCAGCAAGAAATTGTTGGTGCTCAGCGTGGGAGGCATGGCGGAGAGAGACAATAGACTGCATTAGAAAAGGAAGGTGCTTTTAATGCATCAGCCATTCTGGGTCTCTCTTTAGCCCGGGCTGGTCTTCAAAGAGGGAGGAACTAGCGCCAAGCAAGGAAATACTCCTGCAGAATTTCTTGCTGACCGAAATAGTGTCAACTAGCCAAGCTTATGCAGGCAAAGCTGAGGGATGGAATAGAAGGGGCGCGACTGTTCTCTTTTCTCTTTCATTATTCCATTATTCTCTCCAAGGGTCTGCAGCATGCAGCTTTCCCCAGTTTCAGCTCAATCCCAAGGGGATGGGTGGGTGGGTGGGTGGGTGGGAGGCGAGAGGGGAGGGATACCTGGAGAACTCTTCCATGGGACAGACGATCTAATCACAGTCATTTCCAAGGGAGAATTCTTGACTTTAGAGAAGGTTAGCAAATTTCCCCTATTCCTGAAGGAATATAGAGAAATCGCCCACCCCATCTATCCGGGGGTTAATTTCTAAAGACATATTACAGCCAACTCTTAGAATACAAGGAGTCTGGCATGTACTTATGACGGTTGCAGTGCTCGCGTGATCACCTTCTGGCAAGCAAAGTCAGTGGGGAAGCTCAGTTCACTTTACAGCCATGTCACCAACTAAACAACTGCAGTGATTCACTTCACCACTGTGGCAAGAAAAGTCGTAAAATGGGACAAATTTCATTTAACAACGGTCTCATTTAGCAACAAAAATTTTGGGCTCAATTGGGGTCATATGTCAAGGGGTACCTGTAATGGTGTCAAGCCCTACACATCTACTCGAGACCAAGAAAGCATGAGCTATGCAGAATTCAAAAAGGTGTGTTTAATGCTAGTTGTGTGATAAACAGGAAATTTTGGAAACTGCAACAGGAATTTTCCAGCCTCATTTATGGAGAGTTCATTATTATTTATAAAGTCTTTGAATGACTTGAAATAGTTTTCTCAGATGTCTCTCTACCTGGAGATAGATAGATAGATAGATAGATAGATAGATAGATAGATAGATAGATAGATTTTTGATTGCAATAGTAAAATCTAATGCAAAGTAAAGAAAAGATAATAGAAAGAAGTAAAATGTGCAAGGAAAAAGAAAGAAGAAAAGAAAAAATACAACAAGGAAAGAGAAAAGAAATAAAGGAAGATATGACTTCCAACCTTCATTACAAATACAAACAAATTTGTTAACTATTCATGATCTCTAAAGTTATAATCACTTATCTCTTCATTCCATATCCCTTCCTTCATCTAAAAAAAATCCATAAACATTATTTTTTCAGTCCTGCTGTCAACAGACAGTCCATAAAGGGTAGCCAGAAGTAACGGCGTATCTTGTTTTAACCTTGATCAAATAAATATATTCCTTCCTTTGACTTCCATTTCTAGTCTGTTGTATCTTCTAAAAATCTCCTTTTTCTGTTGGCCTTCTCTAGCCATTAACAGCCCACTCACCCTTTACTTGTTTTTATTTTACTTGTATCCCACAATCATCTCTTTTTTAATTGTCGTTTTTGTAACAATGGTAAGCAGCATCCAGATTTTTTTTTAAAAAAATGAGCAGTGCATAAATCATGTTGATGATGAAAATGAATGCAGAAATCTATAGGATTATTTAGAGAAAATGCTATTCTCTGAACTACAGGAGTAAATGTTTTGCTTTTCAGTTCAGTCAATCATGAAAAGAGAGCAGAGAGGCTAATGCATTTCTTGATAAGTTGTAATAAAGAAACTTGGAGAGTCAGTGGGTGGGTTTGGATGATAATTACCACTCTTTTTACCTGACATTGTGGACCAGATTGTCCTTTTGCCTAAACCTCACACCCACATCAGCCACGTCTAAGATAGTAAGCAGCATCAAGTTACAGCCTTCATTGTTATATCCAAACCCTCTGTGGCTGCTTCACATAAATGTCTAAATGCTACCGCCTTTTCTAATGAACTTATCCGACAAATCTTGGCAACAGGTTAAGAGTCTTTAATCCCTCCAATGAAATATGTCAAATAAAAAGGATTACCTGTCCTAACCTCAGCTAAAATTAGATTTGCTTTTTGCCTCTTCTAGGCATAGATGTTCTCACGACTGGGTGTGTCTATGTACACACAAAGACACACGCATGCACAGAGAGAGCCCCCCTCTCATTCCTGGACCTGAAACACTAAGTTTGTATCTCTCCCCATCTGGATATTTTCTAGAACAGTATATTTTACACACACACACACACATACAACTGTAAGAAAAGCAGCTGGTGCTAGAATAAATGCAGAAATAAGATCACCATAAATTTTGTAGAGTTCCCTAGGTAGATGGGCGGCTACAGACATTTGTTAAAATAAATAAAGAATAAATTGATGGTTCCTGTTTTTTATTTGATTAACTGCTATTGAGTTGCGGTTGACTTTTAGCTACTCCAGAGTTAGGTTTTCTGTTCCCAATCTGGTCCTTCCGGTTTTCTAATGGTCACCTCAAGTTACTGCCTCGTGTTTTCCATTTTTTAACTCCAATTTTCTTTCTAAGAAAATTATGGACAACTCCAAGTGATGTTTCCTGCCCATTTACTGTATGTTAATATTGGGAAGGCATCAATATTCTTTTGATTGCTAATCCTTAAGGAAACAGAGACTGTAGGAGCCCCTTTCTCCCACCTTTCCTGTTGGCATTTTGGTATTAATTTGACAAGACCATCCTGTCAAAGAATCCTGTATTAATCCCACCAAAAGAGATTCATGATTGTCAGGCCCTAAGAAACAAGAAAGACACTTCTGATCAGTTTCCTTTATTGTTCCCCACCAAAAGACCGAATCTCGCCAAACTAAAGCAACTTGCATCATTAAATATGTTCTCTGAGAATTGCTAGGGAGGAACCATCTTAACTCTCTTCCTCCCAACCAAACTTTGCTGTCTCTCAGCCCTCTAGAATTCAGCTCCTCCCTCCTGGGAATCCAGACCACATTCCACCACGATGACACTAACAACACAAACGCAGCAGCTTCGTTTCCCCTGCTTGTATAAATAAAACCAATATCTTGCAAATGGAATCAAAGGGTCTGTACTCAAATATTTATGGTAACAAATGCAACCTGTGATGGCATCCCCACTCCACCTCGAGGCATAAAAGCTGCTGGGAGGGAAATGTGTTTTTTTTAAAAGAGAAAATAGCACCAGCAGGATGGTTAAGAGGAGGTGTTATGTGCTTCATGAGTAAGGCAGTTGTCATATTCCAAGAATATAACACCCATACATATCGCATCAATACTGGAGTCACTTGTGCATATCTTAGTAAACTAAATTGCTGCATGTATTTCCACAAATCTGGGAGAGCTACAAATCATTTTCTGTGTATATAAATTTAATGCAGTCTATTCTGCTTTTAGGTCCCTTAATATTTCACCAAATATTTAGACCTTTTATGCAAAGTAGGCACTAACTTGCCCTCTGGGTTCTAGATAATACAGTAGAGTAGAGAATAATAGAATAGAATAGAATTTACCTTAATCAGATCCATATATGCAGTTCTCAATTGCACTGCTTTATGTATAATAGACTGTATTCATTTATTTGTATCCTGCCTTTTTTCTTACAAAACTCAAGGCAGTGAACCCATCTAATACTTCTTCCTCTCCTATTTTCCCCATAACAAGGTGGGTTGGGCTGGAGGGAGGGACTTTAGAATAGACTAGAGCTGGAAGGGACCCTGGAGATCTTCTAGTCCAGCCCCCTGCTCAAGCAGGAGAACCTATACCATCTCAGACAGGTGAATTTCCAGTCTCTTCTTAAAAATCTCCAGTGATGGAGTGCCCATGATTTCTGGAGGCAAGCTGTTCCACTGGTTGATTGTCCTCATTGCCAGGAAGTTTCTTCTTAATTCCAGGTTGCTTCTCTCTTCGATCAGTTTACAACCATTGTTTCTCGTCCTTCCCTTTGGTGCTTTGGTGAACAACCTGGCCCCCTCTGTCTCATGACAGCCCCTCAGATTCTGGAACACTGCTATCATGTCTCCCCCATTTCTTCTTTTCTTTAGACTAGCCAAACCCAAGTTCTGCAGCCCTTCTTCGTATGTTTTAGTCTCCAGGCCTTTGATCATCTTAGTTGCTCTTCTCTGAATTTTTTCCAAACTGTCAACATCTTTTTTGTGATATGGTGACCAAAATTGGCTGCAGTATTCCAGGTGCAGTCTTACTAGGGTTTTATAAAGTGGTACTAATACTTTGAGTGATCTCACCCAGCCAGCTTTCATTATATATACTATTTGGGTGCTGACCACACATAAATATGTGCATTTTCCTCATCAGTGGACACCATTGGCTGAGTTCATATCACATGCCAAGCTACAAGTAGTCTTTGACATACAACAGTTTGTTTAGTAACAGTTCAAAGTTAGAATGGCACTGGAAAAAATGACTTTTGACCATTTGTCACACTTACAACCATTGCCGCATCCCCATGGTCACGTGATCAAAATTCAGCATCTTGGAAACTGACTCATATTTATGACAGTTGCAGTGTCCTTGGGGTCACGTGATCCCCTTTTGTGACCTTTTGGCAACAACATCAATGGGAAAGCCAGATTCACTTAACAACCATGTTACTAACTTAACAACTGCAGTGATTCGCTTAGCAACTGCAGCCAGAAAGTTTTTACAATAGGGCAAAACTCACTTAACAAATGTCTGAGCAACATAAATTTTGGGGCCAATTGTGGTCATTAAGTCAAGGACTACCTGCGCAGTCCAGTTCCCTTGTTGGTAGCTTTGTATTGTGTGAACCCAACCAACTGCAATTTATTCAAAAAAAAAAAAAAACCATCAAAAGAAACCCATGGCTTGGCGTGCTACGTAAACACAGCTCTTGCTTTCTCATCTTGCTTCTCAGGTCATCCTTAAAGAGATTATAGTAGAAACTGCTGTTCATAAAGATTGCGTTTCTCTTGGAAATCGGAACCATTGCTTCAGCCCAGCCTACAACAGTCTTTCCCAGCCTTGCTGGCAAGTTCAGAGACTTACTCCTTGCAGAAATCTCCTCCGGGATGGATTGCTGCTGCATCAGCAGAGACGTGGATGATATACTAAAGAGGGCAGAGTGAGTTAGCAAGCAGAAGGCTGAAGAGAAGCAAGGAACAAGGAAGGAAAGATCCTGCTGCATTGACGCTCCATTCCTGCCAGGCAAGATCATTGCCAATAGCAACTGGTTTTTGGCTTTGTTAAGAAAGCCCACCTGTTGTGAAAGAAAGAAAGAGAGAGAGAGAGAGAGAGAGAGAGAGAGAGAGAGAGAGAGAGAGAGAGAGAGAGAGGGAGGGAGAGAGAGAGAGAGAGAGAGAGAGAGAGATCAAGAGATTTCTTTAAATGTTCTAGATCAGTGGTTCTCAACCTGTGGGTCGGGACCCCATTTGGGGTCAAACGACCATTTCACGGGGGTCACCAAACCACACTGTCCACCATTTTTTCCCTTTTCCCTAGCTGTCCTACTCCCTCTTATTGGTGGCCACACCCACTTGGGGGTCATCACAACATGAGGAACTGTATTCTGGGGTCACGGCATTTGAAAGGTTGAGAACCACTGTTCTAGATTTTGCACTATGCAAAATGCCATCATTGGATTGTCAGCTGACCTTATTTATAGATTATTTGTATGCTGCTTATTTGTAGAGCAGGGGTCTTCAAACCTGGCCCTTTTATGACTTGTGGACTTCAACTGCCTGGCTGAGGAGTTCTGGAAGTCCACAAGTCATAAAAGGGCCAAGTTTGAAGACCCCAGCTAGGTTATAGTGCAAAGTGAAACACATACCACACAGGCTGGGCTTGCTTCCCACAGAATCCATCCAATTCCAGACTGCATTCAGGAGAAAAACTTCAGCTCAGAAAAATCTCCAGCTGCAGGCACTGATTGACCTTGATTTCCAGCATCAAAGCCCACTTGTGTAGACCTTCCTGGATCTGGTGTCCCTTCAGTTTTTCTCCACTTGTCTGCTTTCTGACTCTTCACACAAAATTGATGGCCCCCTGGTGGGCTGGGGGATCAGCCTCCAGTTCAAGATTTGAGTCACAAAGATAGAATTGGGCCCTGGTGCCCCCTCACCAGTGTGTGTAGTCCCTGTTTCTTCATTGTTGTCTCTCTTCTTTGAGAGAGCTTTTTGAACAGAATATATCTACACACCACCAGTGGGATTTATTCGGTAAATCATGCATTAAATAAAACATCAGTTATTATTAGTGGGCACCCTACGGTTCTAAGAGTCCCTGCTGGCAATGACTGCTGAAAATTGAAGACATAATTTTTTACCCATTTCAAAATGGGATACTGTAATGCAGACTACTGTTGTTGTTGTTTTTTTAAGTGAAATTCCAAGCCTATCCTGCAGAATTGGCTCAACCCACCCCTGGAATCTGCTCTCCATCCACCTTGCAACCCTCAAATGTGCACCAAATATTAAAAACAAGTGCTGAGTTTTCATGCTGGGTGCATATCGCCCCATCTTCTCCCTTCTGGAGACCCAAAGGATTTTTCAGGAAGGACATCCTGAGGCAAACAATAAGAACAAGCTAGAAATTTCTCATCTTTGCTGATAAATCCGAAATAACAGATCTTCCATCGTGCTTTTCAGACTTGCAAGATGGATGTCAGCCTTGTGAGGTAGTCCTGACAAGAGGCACTTGCTCTGTCTTTATCGTAAGGTTACATTAACAGAATCCTGCGAGTCTGAAAGGATAGGTAGTTCTCGACTTATGACCACAATTGAGCAGAACATTTCTGTTAAGTGCCCCATTTTATGACTTTTCTTGCCACAGTTTATAAGTGAATCTGGCTTCCCTTTTGACTTTTAGCAGGGAGTTATGCAGGGACGCTGACAAGAACTTGTGGTTTTATATAAATAAATGTATTTACAGTAAATAAGAGAGACAAACAGGAACATGGTCAGGTAAATCAATACAGCAGGAACACCATCAGGTAAATCACAGAAAAGCACACACAGCACAGAGGGAAAAAAGGGGGGAAACAAGGAAATTCCACTCAGCTCAGATTCCCTCATGCGGTGGCCAGCTCTCTTTAACCCATCAACTGTGGGTTGTGAATCTTTACACGACCCCCACTGTTCCAGTTAAAAACTTTAAATATCTTGACTAGGTGTGGTTTTCAACCTTTCTGGCTTTAAACGCACATTCATTTTTCGCTGCACTTGCAAATGTTTTCATAGCACTATAAACACACTCCAAAAGATTAAAATATCACAGGAGAGACATAACGGAGAATGTGTTTCTTTAAGGGGTAGCTTTTAAGATGTCGATAATAAACAGGAAGATAGGAAGGTTAGAGATAGCCTTTTCTACTCAAGAATTCTGGCTGGGCTGGAGAACAAGTTTCTGATTCTAGCTCACAGCAAGTACAATTCTCAAATGACACAATTTTCAACCATCTGTTGAGGTAGGGAATCATAGCAGTTTGTCTCTCAAAAGCCTCCTGATCACATTCCTAGCTGTTGCTGCTGTTGTTACATATTTCCTTCCATGATCATATTATTCCTATACAAAGGCATCTCAAAGCCATTTACAACACATAAAACCCACCATCAAATTTAATAACGAGATATAACACCAAAAGCTATGTGCAATAAATGTGAAGGGGGGGAAGCTGAATGAAAGGGTGTTAATCCAGCATTTATTCAGAAGAGGTCAAGAGGAAGAGCTTCAACAGATACCCCAAAACCCATATAGTAAAAGCATTGAATTTTCCCTCCTCCCTCTGGGTCAGGTGACGTTGTCCCAACCAAGTAGAAAAATATTGTTATGAGAAAGCATCTCTAGGTCTGGCCAGACACCTGGTGTAATGTCCTTGAGTCTCACAGTCTGGCTTCTTAATCTTTGAAGTCTGCATTCCAAACCTCTCTCCTCCCAGGTTCATTGGCAAGCTGAGAAGCAATATTTGTCGCACCAGCAAAACCGTGCTTCGAAGTTTGACACAGGGTGCCTTAGTCATTATTTAACCATATGTAATACTCACCAAAAATATAAAATTAGGTATTTATATTCTCCTCCTTTCCTTTTTTCTACTATGCTCATTTTAAATTACTCCTAGCCATACTTTCTAAGCAGTGATGGGATTCAAATAACCGGTTCTCTGTGTGGATGCCGCTTCCAGAAGTCCGTTCTGAGCTACCGGTTCTGCCGAACTGCTGCAAACTGGCTGAATCCCACCACTGCTTCTAAGGTTCTCTCTCTCTCTCTCTCTCTCTCTCTCTCTCTCTCTCTCTCTCTCTCTCTGTGTGTGTGTGTGTGTGTGTGTGTGTGTGTCTGTGTATTACAGATACACAGACAATGCATGATCCATCTCCACTCAAAAATGAGACAACGGCAGGCTGCAAAGAAATACTAGGGCATTTTAGTACTTTTGGAAGTTTGGCCATCTCCAGCATTTCCAAGCCTTTGCAAGAGTCCACTCCCATCTCACCAGCCTTCCAGGTGCGAATCGTCCTCTTTGCAGACTTTCCCGCCCCCTGGCGGGAAGGAGACACGCCGAACTGCCAAATGAAGAACTTGGGAACTTATCCAGGGAAGAGTTACTCAAACCGGAGAGGAATAATAATAAAAAAATCTGGGCTCTGAGAGATTCAGGACCCGGGAGAGCGCACGGCTGGGACGGGGGCTCGGTGGGAATCCGGGAAGCGAGGGAAATGGCAACGCCGAAGTGAAGTCCAGTTGCCTCTTGAAAAAAGCACCTTTGGGCAACGGCGAAGTTTTCCTTGAGTTGGAAAGGGCTGTCCGTTGAGGGTCCTCAAGCAGGAGCAGTCAGAGAGTCAAGAACAGTGTAAGCTCAATTACACTGATGATGAATGATTCCATGTCATTAATCTGTCGCTTGCTCTTGGCGACCGCATAGATACATTTTCTCCTGGGTGATCTGTCCCTAACCTGGTTCTTGGGAAAGGGAAAGAGGAAAGGCAAAAGGAAAGAGGAAAGGGAAAGGGAAGGGGAAAGGGAAGAGGGAAGGGAGGGGAAGGGGAAATGGAAAGGGGGAAGGGGAAGGGGAAAGGGGAAAGAGGAAAGGCAAAAGGAAAGAGGAAAGGGAAGGGGAAAGGGAAAGGGAAGGGGAAAGAGAAAGGGAAGGGGAAAGGAGAAAGGGAAAGGGAAGAGAGGGGAAGGGAGGGGAAGGGAAGGGGAAATGGAAAGGGGGAGGGGGAAGGGGGAAGGGGAAAGAGGGAAGGGAAGAGGAAGGGGAAGAGGGAAGGGAAGGAAAAGGGAACGGAAGAGGAAGGGAGAAAATAATATTATATCACGCACTACATATAATTTGTGGGAAGAATCGGCGGAGAAATAAATTGCTGCAGCGAAAAAAACCAGCCAGCAACCCCCGACTCCTCCCTTTCCACCTCCCGACCCTTCTCTGCTAGCCCGTCGGGTCTCTCGGGCGCAGCCACAAGACGCCCACTCGAGCTACGCGGGTGCCGCCCGGGCGCGGGAGCGCGCGGGGCGCGCGCGGCTGCAGCCTCTTCCTCGGAGCAAGGCGGGTTCTGCCTCCCTCCCCCCCCCGCTCTCCCTTTTCTGGGCGACGCTAACCAGGCTATTTTTAGCCCGGCTCCGGCGGGGGCGGCAGGGACGGAGGAGGCCGGAGCCGCAGCCCCCGGGCGGACCAAGCCTCTGGCCGCGTCCGCCTCGAAGGGGCGTCCCCCGGAGCGACGGGGATGCTCGGGCGGTGAGCTTGCCGGCGGCATGGAGGACGACTTGGCTTCGGAGGAGGACACGCGTAAGGACCGGGCGAGGCAGGGGCGCGCGTGGGGAAGGGGCAGGAGGGCCGCGCGGCTCCGGTGCCTTCCCCGCAGACGGTCCCTGCCCCGCGGCGCTTGCAGGTCGGAAGGCCGAGAGCCAGGAGCCAGGAGAGAGCCTGGCGGGGCGCCGTTTAGGGCTGGGCAAGGAGTGGGTGGGTGGGTGGGAGGGTGGTAAAAGGGTCCCTTCCAAGGGGTGTCTGGTGGAGCCGGAGGAAGGCAGGTGGTCCGAAGCAGCGACAGGTTTCCGCTGGATTCCACCACCACCGCCTGCTGCCCTTCCAGGAAAGGGTTGGGGATCCGTCCAAGGAAACCCCGCAATTCCTGGAGGCAACAATCATAGCCTTTTGGATGGGGAGGGGGGGTGAAATGGGAAGACTGGGGAAGGGGCAATGTTCTAACCAGCTTCAATGAAGGGTCAAAATCCTCCAAGATTTTAGGATTGTGAGTAATTGTAGTATTTGGGTTCCGTTTATCAAGCCATTGACTTCAACCGATAGCAAATCATGAACGGGGAGTGAGGGTGTGTGTGGAACCACATTGGCAATGTTTAGGGCCAGAAATGAATTCTTTGTCCCTTTGTTCTGTAAGGCACACCTCTCTTGGTTTGCACACTTCCAGCCAAATCTTCCTTTTTCAAATCACAGGGGCTGAACTGACAAGTTAACACAGTATCTAATCAGTTAAAATATAGTTCCACCTTTTTTTTTTATAGTTTCTCACTTGTTATTTGATTGTTATAAGCAATTGATAGGACTGTCAATCTCACCAGAAGAGTGATTCTAGGTTGTGTGGTTGCTGTTGAGCTGTAGTAGGTTTATATCCTGATTGTACTGGGATGGCTGGCTATAAGAATATTTCAGATTTTATTTATTTATGAAATTACATTATTGCGTTTTGGTTACCATGCTACAAAAAAGATGTTCAGACTTTGGAAAAAGTTCAGAGAAGAGCAACTAAGATGATCCAAGGCCTGGAGACCAAAATATATGAAGAACGGCTGCGGGATTTGGGTTTGGCTAGTCTGAAGAAAAGAAGAAATAGAGGAGACATGACGGCAGCGTTCCAATATCTTGGGGGCTGCCACAAAGAAGGAGTCAAACTATTCTCCAAAGCACCAGATGGCAGGACAAGAAACAACAGATGGAAACTGATCAAGGAGTGAAACAACCTGGAATTAAGGAGAAACTTCCTGACAGTGAGGACAATTAACCAGTGGAACAGCTTGCCCCCAGAAATTGTGGGTGCTCCATCACTGGAGGTTTTTAAGAAGAGACTAGACATCTGTTCTGAATGCAACACACACACACACACACACACCAGCCCAGAATTTTTGTTTTATAATTTTTACAATCTTTAACGTGCCCTTTTCTTCTCTCAAGTGCTTATTTCAGAAAAGACGTTCCATGATGCAGCCAAACGAAACGACACGGCGTACATGGTCAAGCTGATCAAGAGAGGGGTTGATGTCAAAGCTAAGAATAATGTGGGTATTGAACTGGGTGTGGGAGGTATAGAATGGGGCCATCTGTCAAAGATTTGCACCTCTCCATATCCCTGCTTCTCAAAATCTAAACCCTGAAGCATGATGCTTTGTGTCACTTGTGGAATGCACTTTGGCAAATTGGCATTACAAAGAGATGGGAAGAATAAATGGAGGAAGCAAACTCTACTGAGAGACTGAGAATCTCCATACACATTTGGCATTGGCAAAGACACCATGTGGTGATCCAGGCTCAGGCAGTCTCTTTTTGCTTGTTCCTTAGGAGTGTGTCTTGCTGATAGAAAGACTAAGCTAATGAAGAAAAGAGTGCAGTTGACCTTAGACCTGCACAACATTGGCAGAGACAAACAAAGGGAACATAATTCTTTTTCTCCCCTGCTTAATTTCTCTTTCTTTCCAGATAGACAGGACTGCTCTCCACTGGGCTGCAGGAGCAGGGCATGAACAGGCCGTCCGCCTTCTCCTGGAACACGAGGCCTCCGTGAATGATGAAGACAGTGTGAGCTTTTCTCCATGCTTTGTTGACTTCGTTGGATGTGACGACTAACATGCCTTTGTTCTCATGCCATCTTCCCAAACGTTATTTATATAACACACTAGCCTAGGTCCGCTTCATATCCTGGCTGAGGAATTCTAAGAGTTGAAGTCCACAAGTCTTAAAGTTGCCAAGTTTGAAGACCCCTGATATAAGGTCTCCTGCCTTGAGCAAAGGATTGGATTAAAAGACCTTTGAGGTCCCTTCCAATCCAATGACTCTAAGTTCTAACTTTCCTTTTCTCATCTTCCTGTTTTCCAGTTTGGGATGAGTGCACTTCTTCTATCTGCTTGGTTCGGTCATTTACGTGTCCTTCAGATCCTGGTCAATGCTGGTGCTAAAATCAACTGTGTAAATAAGGTAGGGTAGATTTTTCTGGCAAAGCTGGGCTCCATAGGAAGAGGAGAATGCAAGAACATGGATGTCTGAAGGATGCAATCACAACATCGGGATGCAAATTCCCTTCTTTGCATACTTCCATGCAACATGGCAGTGAAATTATGAGAGGATGAAGCTTGTATAGTGTTGTCATAATGCACTTTCTGTCACAGTGGCATCAATAAAATCGGGAACAGGCTCCTATGCCATCCAGATCTGCTAAAAAATAATGGGGTCTTCTGCATGTGAAAACAACATGCTTTGTCCATGCAACATATTCAGCCAGGTCTATTAAAGCAATACTGGCTGCTCACACAGTATATTTATTGAGAAGTGTAGAAAAAAACCACCCATCTCCTCCATACCTCTTTGGGTAGCATAAAATGAAAACAATCATACCCAAAAAAATATGCCAGAAGGAAAACAGCCATTAAAGACAATGAAACACAAACTCAGCCCAAGATCTGGGAAAAGAGCCAAGTTTTCAGTTGAACACAACTAGGGTGGGGTCTAGACGGATCTGCATTTTGAATGAAAGAAACAATAGATGGATTCAAGTAGCTTTGAGACAACACCCAGATGAAATATGAGGAAATTACTCTAAAGGTAATTTCAGGGAAGAAAATTTGGGGGCTGGGGCATTCAAGACAGACATGTCGACAGTGTTTGTTTAAGAGGAAAGTCTAGAATAGTTTTCATCCCAAATACTGTATGAAACCAGAATCGGCAACCCTGCGCATGTTCTAATAATTACTAACTGAGGAGGAATGAAATAAGACCTGACAGTTGCGAAGCATAGAAAGAAGGCGCTTCTTTCATGTTCAGGTTTTCATTTGCTTGGCAACAGGCAGTGAAACTTCACACAAGGGAGAAAAAGCTAAATGTCCAACCAATGGACAGCTGCTTTCTTCATACATGATCTCCATTTCTGAAAACTCAATCTCCACCAGTGTTTCCTGACCTTCCCCTTATTTTAAGACCATAAAGTTAGGGATGCAACTGATCCTAAAGGCAGCGGCATTGGCAAGGTGGGGGTGGGAGAGAGAGAGATTTTTAAAAGAAGTTAACATGTCTGCTGCAATTGCATGATGGAAGCCCCGCCCCCTTTTTGCCAGAATGCCAAATGGGCGAGACCTCATCCTTACAATCATATCCTCCATTTTGACTTTTATGACCTTCTCCTAGGACAGGGGTAGGCCACCTGGGCTCTTTGATGACTGGTGGACTTCAACTCCCAGAATTCCTGTGCTAGCCATGCTGAGGGGAAAGGGAGAGGTTTCAAAGCTGAGCCAGGCTGGCTCAGGAATTCTGGGAGTCGAAGTCCACGAGTCATGAAGTGGCCAAAGTTTCCTCCATGCTGGCTCAGGAATTCTGGGAGTTGAAGTCCACGAGTCATAAAAGAGCCAAGGTTGCCAACCCCTGGACCAGGACATTCCTGCTTAGAGGTCCCATGTTTGAACAGCTGGATTACCTGGTATCTGAGGAGCAAGATGGCGCAGATGGCTTATTCCTCCACACCTTGAATCCACCATCCTTATTTTTTTTCAGAATGGCCACAATCTCCTACACTGTGCTGCCCAAAGGGGTCATCTCAGGGTGATGAAGTTCATCATGGAAGATCTGGAAGACGTGCAGCTGGATAAGAAAGATAAGGTAAACAGGCTGTCTGTAATCTCCCTTTCCCCCAGTTAGGTGAACTGGGAAGGCATGCCATTAGGACATCGTATTGTCCTTGGATGCCCAACATGGTGCCTGTCAATTCTAAGGTGCCCATACATTCTTCCCTTGACACCTGCTAGATTTCTTGCCCAATCGGACATTTTCTTTGTCAAGCCAGGATTTTAGTTATAAAAATAGCGGTTGTATAGACCTCATCCCCGGGAGTCAAAATTTAGACGCTTGAAAAACTGACTCGTATTTATGACGGTCGTGCAGTGTCCCGGGGTCCCGTGATCAGCTCTTGCGATTTTCTGACCAGCCAAGTCAATGGGGAAGCCAGATTCACTTCACAATCGGGTTACTAATTTAACAGCTGCAGTGATTCACTTAACAACGGCGGCAGGAAAAGTTGTAAAATGGGGGCAAAGCTCATTTTAACAGATGTCTGGCTTAGCCACAAAAAACGTTGGGCTTTGTTGTGGTTGAAGGTCGAGGACCCCCTGTAGAAGCAATGGTCACAGTCTGGTTTTCTCTTCCTCCTCCTCCCCTCTTTTTTCTCTCTCTCTCTTTCTCTCCTGGAAGATGGGCAGGACAGCCCTTCATTTGGCCGCAGAGAAGGGTCAGCTGGAGGTGGTGGCATTCCTTCTGAGCCTCGGCTCTTCTCACAGCATCCAAGACCAGGTTTGAAAAAGAATTAATAATAATAATAATAAAGTTGGAAGGGACCTTGGAGCAGATGATTTTGTGGTATGGTGCCTGCCAGAATTCATGGGGCTAGAAAATCCATGGAGCATTTTCTCAACCTCTCCCATTTTAAGCTTTGTGGACTTCAGCTCCCAAGACTGCTGGGGGATTCTGGGAGTTGAAGTCCACACAACGTAAAGTGGGAGAGGTTGAGAAACACCACCTAAGTGGAACATTTATACCTGTTCTCCCACTGGATCCCCAGGAGAGCTCTTCTCACCTTAATGTGGAATGTCACACTGGTTTGCAGGAGAAGAACACAGCCTTTCATTTGGCGGCCATGAATGGACATGCAGACATATTGCAGAAACTTCTAGAAGCTGGCGCGGACCTGGAAGACAAGAATGCAGTGAGTATAAAACTGAAAAATATGGTTGTTGTTTTTTTTAACCTTCATAGGAAACATGGAAGTTTAATCTTTTTCTTTTTGGTTGTAGCCAAAACAGGCTATATAACGTAATGTGGGTGCATGACACAGTCATCCTTATTTTGATCCCTTGCCATGATTTAGTTGTTTGTGGAATTCTTGGTGGTCTCTGAAGCACTGAAGATGTTACGTGGCTGGGTAATGAAACATCTGCAAGAAAACAACCAAGCTCAGAGAGCACCAAGGTTCCCACAGCTGCTCCTCCTCCTCATCCCCCTTCGCTCCGCAAACCTCATTCCTCCTAATACTGATGATGTTACCTAGTTGGGTAATGAAATGTCAGCAAGAAAACAACCAAGCTCAGAGAGCACCAAGGACCCACAGCTGCTGCTGCTGCTCCTCCTCCTCCCCCTTCATTCCGCAAACCTGTACTGATGATGTTACCTAGTTGGATAATGAAATGTCGACAAGAAAACAGCCATGCTCAGAGAGCACCAAGGACTCCTCAGCTCAACCCTGAGCTGTAGAGATTCTCTTCTACTGTCCTCCCAGATTGCATCATCCTGAACTGGCCCCGTGCTCCTTCTCTCTTAAACCAATCCACCTCCTCCATCTTCTTCCCCAGAGGGCTGCTGTGCAGTTCTCCTTTCTGTGTGCAATGGCCACAGTTATGCCACCATGTTGTTTTTCCCCGACTCTGTGATAACTAATTCCAACGCATTAAAAGGACAACCAGGGCTTACTTTTCCTCTCTTTTTTCAGGAAGGGATGACTTCCTTACATTTAGCTGCTGAGGGAGGACACAATGATTGCATCCATCTACTTCTGGAAGCTGGCGGTGAAGTCAATGCCCAAACGCAGGTATGGTTAGTTGAATGGAAGGATTTGCTCCAGATATATATGAGAGGGACATTTATTTGTTCACTTGTCTATCTATTTGCATCATTTCTAGACCCTTAGGACCACGGGGATGCTACAACGGCCGTGTGAGAAACGATCATAAGTCACTTTTTTCAGTGCCGTTGTAACTTTGAACGGTCCCTAAACAAATGGTTGTATGTAAAGAACTACCTGTAGTAGGTTTTTGTGAGCTTGCATTGCCTGAAAGGGTCCCCCAATTTTTTTTTCCAGAAAAAAATGACCTGCCTTCATTATGCTGCACTGAACGGCTATGTGGACATGGCCAAAGACCTCCTTGGTGCAGGAATCCAGACAGATGCTCTGAACTACGTAAGTGGCTGATTTCATCAACTGCAACCAGAACATCTTCTTATCTCCAAACCAGCGGTGGGATTCAGCCGGTTTGCACCAGTTTGGTAGAACAGATAGCTAATTATTTTGTTGCCCAGGCCCAGAATGGATTTCTGGAAGCGGCATCCACACAGAGAACCAGTTGTTCACATATTTGAATCCCACCCCTGCTCCAAACAGAGGAATCAAGTACATCCCCTGTGTTCAGTTGGGTTTCCCTCCAAGTGTCACATAGGAGCCATGGTGGCGCAATGGTTAGAATGCAGTACTGCAGGCTGACTCTGCCAACTGCCAGCAGTTTGATTCTGAAGGTTCAAGATCGACTCAGCCTTCCATCCTTCTGAAGTTGGTAAAATGAGGACCCAGCTTGTTGGGAGCAATATGCTGACTCTGTAAACCGCTGAGAGAGGGCACTATATAAAGCAGTATATAAGTCTAAGTGCTGTTGCTATTCCACTCTGCCTCTATCTGGAATATCCGCTGGTGCAGCCAGAGCATTGACAGCTAAGTAGTGTCAAGCTTCTCGCAGCTGATACTAGAATCAGAAGCTGTGTGTGCAATGATTCCGGGATGCAGCTCTGAAATAAATAAGGTTATTCATGAAGAAAGAAACTCCTCAACTGCCAAGTATGAACGGCAGGCTCTATTTATAGTCAAAGCAAAGTTTGGTGCCTGTTTCTGTTTTCCCCACCTGCAGGGCACAACTGACAAAAGATCTCCCACCTTTTGTGTAGAGGGAAGGGTTGTTGTTTAATAAACTAATTTGGGAAGAGACTGTTTGCTTTTGATCTAACCAGAACCAGCCCTTGCAAACGGCAGTCAAGATGGCGTTTCTAGAGAAACTTTGAGTTTTGTTTTCCTCCCAAGGCTTCTCTTAGACTTTAAGGAGAAAACCGTTAATCCTACCAGATACACAACTACCTAGAGACCATTGTTTTAATCCGTGGGGCACTTTGGGATTAAAGCTGAGCCCTCTGAATTAGTCATCTATGTAGACATGGCCAAAAACCTCCTTGGTGCCTTAATGCGCCGCTAGCAAAGTATGAACATTGCTTTTTTCCCTACAGCAAAATGCATCAGCTATGCACATTGCGGTGCTAAGGAACCACCCAGCCATTGTCAAACTTCTCATTGATGCCGAATGTGACCTTGATGTCCTTGATAATGTAAGACATTTTTTTTTTCAAATTCCCGAAGACAGGTGCCATGACAGAGAACGGGCACTTCTGGGGTCTTGGTAGATGGCATTGTTTGGGTCAAAATTCCTGGAGCTATATATATTGGTTGTAAACTGAAAATTAAGTTAACGTGTTGGAATTCTTTGTTTAGCAGTTAAGGCATCAGGTAGAAACCAGGAGATGGTGAGTTCTAGTCCTGCCTCAGCCATGAAAGCCCGTTGGGTGACTTTGGGCCAATCACCAGCAGGCGGTGAGTTCTAGTCTCGCCTTGGGCATAAAAGCTGGCTGGGTGACTTTGAGCCAGTCACTCTTTCTTTGCCCAATTCATCTCACAAAGTTGTGGTGGTTGTGTACTTTGAGTTATTTATAAAAATAATAAAGATGGGGTATTAATTAATTAATTAAATCCCTAAATAAGATACCTTTCTTTGAGGGAGATGGGCAGTTCATAAATGCAAAATACAAATGGATACATGAATGAATAGGTAGATAGGTAGGTAGATAGGTAGGTAGGTAGGCAGGCAGGCAGGCAGGCAGGCAGGCAGGCAGGCAGGCAGGCAGATAGACAGATACTTATACCTATAGCTCTTTTTGTCTACTAGGGAAAAATTCCCTTTGAGTTCAGGCAGCTGCTCCCAAATCCAAGGAATTATAAAGGAGCTTATTACTATTTCTGGGGTGAGATTCAGCAAGGGTTGGGAAGTGGCATTGGGGGCCATGTAACAAGCTTTTTCCACTATGTATCCAAAATGGATTGTAATTAAAACTGATATGTGTGTGTGTGTGTGTGTGTGTGTGTGTGTGTGCGCGCATATATGCGTGTGTAAGCTTTGCTGTCATTTTGTATAACTTGACACTTTTGGCTGCTACTGCTGTTATTATATTTGGATGGTGGTGGTATTCTTTGGTGGGTGGCTTTTTTCCCCCCCTTTTCTTTCGAAAGTGGACATCGGAATTTCACTTTAACATATGCTATTGTGTAACCAGAAAAATAACAATAATGATTATCTTATCATAATTATCTCTTATCCTATCCCTTTGATTCAGTTAGCTCCCTCCTGCTGGAGCTTTTTGTCCCCATGAGGTGCCAAGGATGGAAAAGAACGCCTCCTTGAGGCCCCAGGAAGTTTTTTTTACTAGTTTCCAAAAACTATTTATCTCATTGCTAAGGAACGGCTGCTTCTCCCAAATTCTTTGCAGTGCCGATTCCTGATTTTCCTGTTTTGCTTCCAGAGGCAACAGAGTCCTCTTCATATTGCTGCAGAATACGGAAGGCAAGATATTGCCGAGTTGATCCTCATGGCTGGGGTGAATTTAAAATTAACCGACAAGGTAACGCTGACATCTTGCCGCTGTCTGTAAACATATGCACAGAAATGTTTCCTCTTTGCAAACCTGCGCCAGCTGTGGCAACAGGATTTTTAGCATGAGAATGCACAGAGGACATTTTCAAAGTTAACTACTTTGCCTTATGCATTCTGCATTTGATCTATAAAACCATGTTTTTCAGTGCACTTCCTGTCCTTATTATATTCCTGGAAGTTCAGATGGCCCATTCCCTGCTGCTCTTACTTAAGACAGTCAAAATAGCACCGTTCTGGAGGGCATTAGATACCATTCTAGATTTTGTCTAAGCTTAATATAGAGAGATATTGGGGGACCGAGCCCATACATCAGATGTTATTTGCTTCTCCAGCAGGGAATTATATGGGTTTATCAATACAAGTTGGATTGCCTATATAGTCTATATTGCCCCTATAGATATTTTAGTCAGTATTTTGTTGGATAGGGCCCATTGTTCAAGTTTGTCAAGATCCTTTTGCATTCTGAGTTTGTCTTCTGGGGTGCTGGCTACTCCTGCCAGTTTGGTGTCATCTGCAAATTTGATGAGTTCCCCTTCTATTCCCTCATCCAAGTCATTAATGAAGACATTGAAGAGTATTGGGCCTAAGATGGACCTTGTGGTACCCCACTGCTTACTTCTCTCCATGTGGATGTAGTGCCACTGAGGACTACTCGTTGAGTACGGTTTGTTCGTCAGCTACAGATCCATCCGGTGGTGACGTTGTCTAGGAGTATCTATTGATCAGTGGAGTAAATGCAATCAGGATATGGCAGGAGTTAAATATTTGCTGCCCATTAATTATAAAAAGGCACAAAGTTTTGTCCTGTTGAACTCAGCGGATTTATTATTTTTTTCTGCAGCAAGGAAAAACATCTCTGGATGTTGCCGCCCGTGGGAACCACGTCAATTTGGCTGATATGATCATCAAAGCGGATAGGTTTTACAAATGGGAAAAAGTAAGTGAGCTTCGTGAGCTTCTGAGGTGACCTAACGAGGTGAAGGAAGTTGGGGGCTCAGGAAATACAGGATCTCAAAGGGAAAGAAGTTAACTGGGCAGACTGTGACCTTTTTCCAGGATAATCTCAACAGTGATTCGGACTCCTGGATAACGGAGCGTTTAACTTTCAAGCAAGACCACCGGCTGGAAACACAACATATCCGTTCGGTGATCTGGCGGCTCGCAACCAAATACCTCAAGCCCAATGAGTGGAAGAAACTTGCACATTATTGGAAATTCACAGAGGCGCACATCAGAGCAATTGAACACCAGTGGACAGGTAGGTGACACAGGTGAGACGCTTCCCAGCTGCTGCTGAACGGGAGACCCGAGGTGATTCAAGAGCCCCATTTAGGTGGTTCCTGAACATATGAGAAGGGTGCACATATGAGAAGGGTGCCATGTGCTTAGCCCAAGATCAAGTCTACAGGAAGTCCTCAACTTACAATCACATCTGGGACCAGAATTTCCACTGCTAACCAAGGTATGACAAGGTATGATCTTACAAACAACATTTGTAAGATCAGGTATGACTCACTAAGTGAGTCATACCTGATTACAAATGTTGTTTGCTAAGTGGATCACTGCAGTCACGTGAATCATGCTATTAAGCGAATCCAGCATCTCCCATTGATTTCAATTGTTGGAAGCCATCTGGAAAGGGAACAAATGGCGATCACGTGATCCTGGATGCTGCAACCCTTGTTGGTTGCCATGGCCCCGAATTTTGACCTCATAGCCATGGGGACGCTGCAACAATCACAAGAGCAAGGACTGGCCATGAATGACTTTCTTCGGTGCTGTTATAACTTTGAACCGTTACCAAATAAACGGTTGTGAGAACTCTCTGTACTATGAAGAGGGTCTAACTTTCCTAGAACATAGAATAATCGGGTTGGGAGGGACCTTGGAGGTCTTCTAGTCCAATCTCTTGCAGAAGCAGAAGATACTATGCTATTCCAGACAAATGGCTGTCCAGTTTCTTCTTGAAAATTTCTGATGTTGGAGCACCCACAACTTCTAAAGGCAAGTCGTTCCACTGATTAATTGTTCTCACTGTCAGGAGATTTCTCCTTAGTTCTAGGTTGCTTCTCTCTCTTAATGATCTTCCACCCATTACTTCTTCTTCTGCTTTCAGGTGCTTTGGAGAATTAGTTGACTCCCTTTTCTTTGTGACAGCCCCTTAAATATTGGAAGGCAACTATCATATCCCTCCTCGTCCTTCTCTTCATTAGACTAGACATACCCAGTTCCTTCAATCGTTCATCATGTAGTTTAGCCTCCATCATCTTTGTTGCTCTTCTCTGTACTCTTTCTAAGGTCTTTCAGAGAGGCTAAAATAGCTGTAGCCCTTGGTTTTAAAAATGCAACACCAGCGTTTCGATGATGAGACCAGCACTGAAGGAAAACGTCTCATGAAATATGAACGATACGTCTGTTTCAGAGAGGAGACCAAAACAAGAAGCGGTTTGCAAGAAAAAGAAGAAGCAAAGACTTTGCTAGCCGGTAGTCCTCTAACCTGGCAGCCATCCAGCCCATATTAGAGATAGCTGGCTCAGCTGTGACCAGCTATTCATGCTGAAAACGCTGGATGAAGCATGTTTGAATTGGATTTGTGTTCTTCCACCCCCAGGTTATTTGCAACCCCAGGCAGCTTTTAGAGAGAAATAGAGCTGCATCAGTGAGTGAGCCCAACTCTCTGGGGAAGCTGAATTACTACTGTCTTCCCTTCATCATCTCCAATGAAAGCCAACAACTGCTTTTCAGTGTTAAAAAAAAAAAAACACAATAACGCCAAATGGACAGCAATTGAGAACAGTTACAATACATTAAAAAGGTTTCAAATTCAGCAAAAGCCTTGAACAGCGACATACTAAAAGACACTATAGGAGGACAGCTATGTTAGTCTCTAGTGGCGCCTTTTCAAACTATTACATTTTATTAAAAGGGGCTAACAAATGCTCCAAGTGCCTATTTACCCACTTCTCGTAATCAAAATGCAAACTATCTGTCTTTCCCTCTCCTTTGGTTGACATTTTCAACGCATTTACAATGAGGCATATTCAGAAAAATAAATTCTTCTGAAATCAGATGTATTCTTACAACAGTTTTATTCTTCTGTTCAATCATGTCCAATTCTCAGAGATTGTCCGGACAAGTCCCTGCAGTTTTCTTGGCAAGTTTTTTCAGAAGTGGTTTGCCACTTCCTCTCAAGTAATTCCTAGCTCTGAGGAGGAGAACTTACTCAAGGTTATTCAGCTGACTTGGTGCCCGAGACAGGACCAAAACTCACGGTTTCCTGGTTTCTAGCCTGATGCTTAATTACTATACCAACTTGGCTTTCTACAGCAGTACAAGAACTTATAAATGAACTTGGCTTGACTATTGGGAGCTGCAAACAATATTCTGAATCAGTGAGTCCCATGCATAGCCTAGTTGTCTATGACTCAACTTTCTAAACTGGAAGAAGCTTGAGATAGAAAAAAAACGTTGTATGGGTAAGATATATAAACATACCCACACATATCATAGTTGTATTTATGCACCATTATTAACTTGGTTATCATATTCAAGACTTACACGATATATCACACCATATACACCAAAGAGCCATGGTGGCGCAATGGTTAGAATGCAGTATTGCAGACTGACTCTGCCCACTGCCAGGAGTTCAATCCTGACCAGCTCAAGGTTGAGCCTTCCATCCTTCTGAGGTTGGTAAAATGAGGACCCAGATTGTTGGGGGCAAGAGGCTGACTCTATAAACTGCTTAGAGAGGGCTGTAAAGCACTATGAAGCAGTATGTAAGTCTAAGTGCTATTGCTATATTTACTGACTGAACTGGATTTATTTTAAACCGGGGAGGGGGGGAAAGCCAGAGGTATCAACAGGGAAGGGTCAAAAAAGTCAAAATGGTGTGGCATGCGTGTAAAAAAGTACTTTGATTTCATACTTGTATCTGCCAACTTAACTTCTTGGCCACACAAATCCTCACAGATGATTTGCCAAGATTACCAAACGTTGCAGGCTATGTGAATCTTAACAGAACTTTATCTAACTTGCTTAAGCTTATTCTAGGAATATAACTACCCATTATCTGGCTGCTATGCTGCCTTTTCAGTTATAATGGTGGCAATATAATAGAAATAAATAATAATAATAAAAAATAAAGGTAGTGCCAATAGTAATAGGCATCTTGGATTTAACCCCAAAACAACCCAACTTGAACACCCTCAGCATTGACAAAATCATCGTCAGTCAATTGCAAAAGGCAGCTTTACTCAGAACAGCTTTCATCCTGCAAACAGTGACATCTGCCTATCTTAAGTCCTTACGAAGGACTTGATAGGTGGATAAAAATGTCAAATCCAGCCTGCATATCTGGCTAACTGTGCAACAGATCACAATAATATAGGATTGTCACATAATATTAGGTCAGGGAAATAGAAAAAGGTCATGGGACTTTCAACTGCTAGGGAATCTTTCTCAAACAGTTGGCAAGACATACAACTATTCTGTGATTCCAAAACACAGTCACAATACATCTGTCACAACAGGAAATTACACATCTCCATGTGTATCAATACATAAGCAAGTGATGTTTCATGCACCATGTTCACCAAGTAAACTGCCTACTGCACATCAGGAAATTACATTGGTTGTTATTTGTTGATGATGTCATGACATGGTGATATCATTATGGTACCCGTAATCCATAATCTTGGAATATCTCACTTCACCCGTGTCTTCCCTTTTGGCCAGGCACCAAAAGCTACCGAGAACACGGCCATCGGATGTTGCTGGTCTGGCTTCATGGGACCATCATGGCAGGAGAAAACCCAGTTAAAGGATTGTATGAAGGGCTGGTTAGCATCGGGAGGAGCGACCTAGCAGGTATGGTGACTCCTTGGCCTTCGAATAGAATAGAATAGAATAGAATAGAATAGAATAGAATAGAATAGAATAGAATAGAATAGGAGTAGAGTAGAATAGAATAGAATAGAATAGAATAGAATAGAATAGAATTATAGAACAGAATAGGAGTAGAGTAGAGAAGAGTAAAGTATATAGAGTAGAATGGAGTGGAGTGGAGTGGAATGGAATGGAATAGAATAGAATAGAATAGAATAGAATAGAATAGAATAGAATAGGAGTAGAGTAGAATAGAATAGAATTATAGAATAGAACAGAACAGAATAGGAGTAGAGTAGAGCAGAGCAGAGTAGAGTAAAGTAAAGTATATAGAGTAGAATACAGTAGAATGGAATGGAATGGAATAGAATAACAGAATTGAAAGGGACCTTGGAGGTCTTCTAGTCCAACCCCCAGCTTAGACAGGAAACCCTATATTCTCTTTAGTCCAATGAGCTGTTCAGTCCAAGATCAGCTGGATCAGGCCAAAGTCCAGCTTAGACACATACGTGTCTTTCTTTTCCAACAGAAAGTATCAGGAAACAAGCAAATGCAGATTCCCCTGCATCTCCAAGGAGGTGTTCAGCCATGTGAAGACCAAGGTGCTGCAGAACTTGGCTCCGTGTAACTCCTCCAGAGACTTCTTTCAGAGTTTGCATCAAAGGGCCACCATTTCCAAGGGCTTCTTCTCGCCATCCTGAATGGCAACCTTTCCAATCCAGGTCAGATCCACGTAAACCGTCTTGCTTTCCAGGGGTTTGTTCTAAAATACTGAGAGGCGGGGATGTTATGCCTCTCCCTCCCAACAAATGGACGTAGCCCAAAGATTTGTGCAGACTTAGGATGCCAAGATGAATATGCTAATTGGGATTACATTCATGTGCATGGGAAGATTTCCAAAATTTTCTAGAAACCCACATCTTTTCCTCCTAAATTACCTTAATTTTTTTCACTTCCCCCAGCAGCCTTGGAAAGCTCTTCTTTGGCTAAATTTCTGGTGACTGTAGGTATTACAACATTCAGCTCTTGCCCCAGATTATAGCAGAATGATCCTCTTAGACTTAACGGATCTGTCTTGAAAACTCTTGAGTTCACACAGTACATTCCACCTACAGTAGAATGTATTATTATCTCCTTTGCTGTATTAACTGAGCCATAAGCTTGCCCAAGATGAGCGATCAAGCAAAACTTAAACCGCGGTTAAAACTTGCCGCAATTAGAATGGAACGCACTTAAAAGCTGCTAGCTTTCTCTAACCTGGTTCAGGGTGCTGTGTGAACAATCAAGGGATACGTCTTCTGGAAACAGGGCAAAAATTACAGTTGCACTAATACTACTACAACAGCACAAGGCTATGGAGACCTGGCAACTTCTGCTTTAGTTCATTGCATCCTTGTGTTGAACATTACTCCAAATCTGGATGTCCACATCTGGGGGGGGGGAACAGCTGGCTCAATCCATGCGACATTTAATACTAGGTGTCCGGGACTTGGCTTGGGAATGCAAAGGGGAACCATTCTACTGTTTCAGCCAAAACTGTTATTTTGATCCATGTTATTTTTTTATTTTTATTTTATATATCTCAACTATGCACATGGAGCTAGCCAGAGTGGCTGGCTGGCTTCTATGCCTCAGGCTGGGCCTCTTCAGCCTGGACTGTTTCAGCCCTGGGTCATTCCCTTCGAAGAAGAGATTTACACACCGGCTGGCCTACGCTGTGATTGCCAGAAAAGGCAGTAAGGATACAGCTCAGAGATTGGTGCCTGAAGGTGCGCTGCACACGTAGTCCCTTTGGGCATTGATTGCTCATCTTTGGCGAAAGGGAAGGCAAGAAGATGTTGTTTTAAGTCATTCCCTACACTTTGAAGTAGCTTCTGCCCAGGAGATGCATGATACCAGTTGCAAGGGAGAAGCTTGGGACTTTCCTGATCCCAAAATCCTGGGGAGGACTCCAGGACCAGCATTCACCCCCGCTTCTGGCTGTACAATTATAAGTTCAAAACATATTTTTGTTCTTCACCAGTGCTGATACAACAGTGTTTTATCTACCGACGGTATACTTTTCTTAAATTTGTCATGAAGTTTTGTATTTTTAAAGCAACGTCGACACATCTGGTTTTCAAATAAATGGTTTCCCCTTCCCCTCTTATGCAGTTCATTTGTTTGTAGCTCCTGAAAATGTGGAACAACCTCTTTGTAGAAAACTTGAACCATTTCAGATGTCAGTACCGTCTCCAACTTTCAGTGAATTTAATCTCCCAGAATTATGAACAGCACAACTGGAAATTCTGAGGATTTGTAAAATTCTAATCTAACTGGAGGGCTCCAGTACCAGACTCCAAACGTTAAAGATGAAGCAAAGCTATTACCTTGCAAATTCCCAAAAGCAGAATAACCGGGGTCCTTCCCGCACCCAGTTAAAATTTTATTCAAAACAAAGTAAGATAGCAAATTAATTTTACAAAAAAAAACCCCTGATTTCAAGTCATTAAGCAGTAACAGTATATAAAGAAACGTAACAGCAACACTGACACTTCCAACAGAGTTTAAAACTAAATATTCAAATTATAAATGAGCTTACAGACATCTGTGATTTGTTCATAGTAACCCCTCTCTGCATGGAGATATAGATTTGTTTATATATATATATTAAAAAGATTTATTCTCGGTAAGAGCACAGTAATGAAGGCTTTGGTACCAAAAGTTTGTCTCTGACAGTTGCATTTGTTTTTTTGTTTTGTTTTTTTAATGAGTCTTCCAAAGTTGCGTCCTTAACTTTTATTATCCAAACTTAGCTTGTGAAAGAGAAACGGGAGCGAGCGTCCATAGCCTAGTTTCATAGAATGAAATCTGCCCAGCTGAGTTTTAAGGACACAGTTCTAACCAGTTCAGTGGGAAGAAGAGAAGGACAACAGAAGGCCAGATGTGATTGGGCAGGACATCTGCCAACAAGGAAAGAGGCCTGACCCTCCAGATGAAAGAACGGCCAATCAGCCAATTACGATGGTTGTTCTTGTTCGTTGCTAGATTGGAGATTGGCTTTCTGGACTTCTAGTTCTTCTGCACTGATCATGGAGGGGTCAATAGCAGCATATCTGGTCCCATGGAATTGAAGCAAGTGTATCTATAGGGCAGATGGAGAGAAGTAGAATGATGATTAGGGGACTGGAGGCTAAAACATATAAGGAACAGCTGCTGGAACTGGGTCTGGCTAGTTTAACGAAGAGAAGAACGAGGGGGGACATGATAGCAGTCTTCCAGTATCTCAGGGGTTGCCACAAAGAAGAGGGAGTCAAGCTATTCTCCAAAGCACCTGAAGGCAGGACAAGAAGCAACGGATGGAAACTGATCAAGGAGAGAAGCAACTTAGAACTAAGGAGAAACTTCTTGACAGTTAGAACAATTAACCAGTGGAACAATCTGCCTCCAGAAGCAGTGAATGCTCCAATACTGGAAGTTTTCAAGAAGAGACTGGACAGCCATTTGTCTGAAATGGTATAGGATTTCCTGCCTAAGCAGGGGGTTGGACTAGATGACCTCCAAGGTCCCTTCCAACTTTACTATTATTATAATTATTATTCATTCCTTTCCCCCCCCCCCTCTAAACCATAAAACATGGACAAAAATGAATCACACTTGTTTGGTGATGGATTCTCATGTGCATCCAGAAATACACTCTAGTATGAATTCCAAAGCATAATTAACATGAGAAAGTGGGAAGAATTGTATACATAGGAGATGAGTAGGAATTAAAACACAAGTAGGAATGAGTAGGAATTAACCCAAGCCATATAATTCAGAAACTCCACTTGGTTCACTGATTTTGGCCCTTTTCTGAAAAAAGTTAGGGCAACATTTTGTGCAAACAAAGCACAAAGACTAGAAGAAGCGGTATGCAAAACGCAGGCCGACTTTCATACAGATGTCTTCGTGTAACATTTGCAAACTGACTGACAAAACAGGACGGAACAGGATCTCTGAATAAAAAAACGAAACAAAACGAAACAAAAATAACCCAACCCACCACAACACACGTATCTGACCGTCTTCTAAATATACTCATTCGGTGACCAACTGAATTCTCCACTGCAGAAGAAGAAGGATGTCCTGTTAACTCCGATTAGGGCCAGGGAGAGGGAGAGAATTTAATTTTGCTAACGTTTGAGTTTTCATTGCTGTGCCTCAGTTTAACAATCCACTTCTAACCAGTTTAGTAATTTAAAAAGGACCATGAACCAAACGAATCTCCTTTAGTTGAAGGACACAGTTTAGTAATGTAAAAAAAGAACTATCAGTTGGAAAAAGATGGGATGATAAAGGAAAACCGTCTCACCATTCCTAGCCATTTTTGGCAGCCTTCATTTCATTCTCTACGTATGTGCGGGAAAGTACGCTAATCTTTTTTTTTACAAACTCCACTAAAAGAATCCTGAGATTGCTGGATGGATGGATGTGTGGATGGATGGATGAATGAATGAGCAGGACTTACTTGGATATAAAGGTTTACTTCGGCACTTCTGCAGAGATAGGGGAAATTGCCTCCTGTTTTAAGATGAGCTCTCCTGGCATTGGGATACAGCTTATACATCTCCTCCTTGGCTTCTGTAGACAGGGCACTCTGATCAAAGACCTAAAAATCAAAACCAGCATCAGCATGAGTCTTGCCATCTCTATAACTGAGCCCAGGATCTTTCACTGAACCAGAAGTTCTCTCTTTCTTCCAGAAGGTCCCATGCTTGGAGGAAAGGGTGCTGGTGCGACCACCATAGACAGGTCCTCCTGGATTGGTGATTTCCCACAAATCAATACCCAGTCAAACCAGTTTCATCTCATGCTTATCAGCTAGGAATATGCCCTAGATTGCTCACGTCCATGATGGTGACAGGAACATCCCGGATCTTATGAGGTTCAACGTAGGAATTCTGGCAATTGAGAGTGAGTCTTGAAGCCAGCTCACTCTGGCCCAAAGTTTCCAACTGTCAGACATTAAGAAAAAAAACAAAAGCCATCAATATGGATGTGAAATCTGGCAACCGAGAAATAGAATACAGAATACCACACTTGGAAGGGATCTTGGAGGTCTTCTAGTCCAAGTATGAAAAACGTCTGTAGGTCAGTCCCGTTGTAACTTCAAACAGTCACTAAATGAACTGTTGAAAGTCGAGGACCATCTATATACCCCCCCACACACACACAACCGAACAGAAAAAGAAAAAAAGGAAGGAAGCTTGAGAACACCCAGTATTTGTTATTTCCTGGACCAACTTCAGAACACCATCAAGCAGCTATTTTGAGCTTTGTGGATCGTTACCCTGTCCACCATGAAATCAATTCCGTCAGCCATTTCAGGATCTACTGGACCGGAAGCAAAATTCCCAAGGACGATTTTCTTCAACATGAAAGCAGGCAACAACCAAAAACTGAAAAGAGAGAGGAATATAAAGGTAGGTTAGGACTTCAAACTCAGGAGGAGCCCTGCACTGCCACGTTAACCATAAAAAGATCGCTCTGCGTTCAGCCTCGCCTGATTCCCCAAAGTTAGTAAGGCGGACCTGTCCATCTTCTAACAGTTCCTATTAAATTATCCTATTCATTAATTGTAGACAAAGGCATCCTACAAAGAAGGTTTGTAGAGTTTGGGCTAGAATTGTCCATTTCAATACATTTGAACGTCACCATTGGACTCAAAACCCCTTGGAAGGAGAGGAACCGCATCTGAACTGTTCCAGCAACATCAGATTTGAGCTTCCACCCATCGTCCATACTTCTGCCAAGAGGCCTCCTTGCCCTCCTTTGGCCTAGTTCCAAACCTCACAGCCATGATGTTTTGACAATCCTCTAACTCTGGGTTTCGTTAAAAAAAGAAGAAGCAAACACTGATTTATTTACTGCCGTCTCACCTATTTGCTGTCCATGTCTGATTGAAAATTGAGGTATCGCTGAAAGAGTTGCACAGAATCAAAGACTGGACCCGGGGAGACTTGTGGGTGTACTCGGCAAATTTCTGAGCAAGGAACCCTCCCAATGAAGCACCAAAAAGGTGAACCTAATATTAAAACGATAAAAGAAGAATACCCTTGATATTTCTCTTTTTATCAAATGCGTTTTACCGTTCCAAGCATTTGGAAATTGGATCAGTTGCCACCTCCTGGCGGACCAAGAGGCAAGCAAACAATATTTAGAGCAGGGGCCTCCCACCGTGGCAACTTTAAAGACTTGTGAACGTCAACTCCCAGAATTCCCCAGCCAGCCAGGCTTGTTGGGGAATTCTGGGAGTTGACGTCCACAAGTCTTGAAAGTTGCCGAGATGGGAGATTCCTGATTTACAGCAACTTCATTAATCAGATTAAAGGTTCAGACAATGAACTTTCCAATTTTATCTCTCACTTTCATGCTATAATCTCTGCCATCTCATGTTGGTTTCCCTCCATCCGTAAAAATGTCATTTTTTATTGTGGGCACAATGGCACACATCAAAAATGAAATTCTGTTACCTGCTCTCAAAAGAAAGTATGTATCTACCCATACAGATACAGAACCCACATATATACATATCGAACAACAAACAGGCGTGAACACCAGGAAAAGTTAAAAACTATAAAAGTTATAATTGAGTAAAATACCAAGCTTTCGTTGGCTACTGCCAACATCGTCAGGGTTCGTTTAGGTCAATGGGAGAACTTATTTATAGATGACAAAGCCATTTGTGCCCGACTCATGGATCTCATCATGGGTCCTGCTCTGGTCATGATCCCCGTGTTATTAACTAATTTGCCCTTGCTTTCCTTACTTGCGCATATATTGCTACTCACTTCCCTCTCCTCCTCCTGTGTCCGTAAACTAGGAGTATACTCCATCTTGCTCCGAACAGACACACATTCCAAATCCCTGGGTTGTTTCATCCTCCCACACCCTTTCCTGGGGTGCTCCATCACAGCGGGCCTTTTACCACTTCCGCCTCTTTCATGTCCGTCATTCTCATTATTATCCCTCTTACCATGGGGCTCCGTACTGAATGCCCTGCCCTGGCTTACACTATCCAACTTGACGAGATCCATGAGTCGGGCGCAAATGGCTTTGTCATCTATAAATAAGTTCTCCCATTGACCTAAACGAACCCTGACGATGTTGGCAGTAGCCA